GGATTTTACAATTAAAGTCCGCCACTCGGCTTATGACGAATAAAAAAATTCATCAGAATTGAGATAGGGCGGGTGGGTGGGGCTTATATTTTGCCTTTTTTCTTAATATACATAGCCATCTTTTCTTAACAAGAAACTTAAAACATAGTTAAAATGGTTTTCGCAAGGAAATATGGATTTTGCAATTTTGGGGCGGAGCCTATTGCAAAATCCATGTTTCCTTATACAAATTTTTCATTTTAGACATTTTTTAAGTTTCATGTTGTGAAAAGAAGTCTACACTACACATATTAAAATGAAAAGGCAAAAACATTAACCCCGCCCACCCACCCCATCCCAATTGTGACGATTTTTTTTATTCTTAGAAACTTAAAACACGTTAAAAATGGTAAATTTCTGTAAGAAAATATGGATCTTGCAATTAGGCTTATTAATCTTTGGTTTTAATTTTTTCTTAATATACTTAGTATTCTTTGATTAACACGATACTCAAAAACGTGGTATTTTCTTGTACAGAAATAATAAGAATTTTGCAATTAAATTTCGCTCCTTTGGCTCTCGACGATTTAAAAAAAAATCATCACAATTGAGATACGGCGAGTGGGCGGGGCCTTTTTTCTTCAACTACGTAGTCGTCTTTTCAGAACAAGAAACTTAAAACATTTTTAAAATAGTAAATTCTTTAGACAAATATGGAATTTGCCATTAAGCCCCACTCCTCGATCTGACAACGAATGAAAAATTCATCACGATTGAGAATTGAGATCGGGGCGAGTATGGGTGTGGCCTAACCTTTGGCTTTATTTTTTTCTTAATATACATAGTATTCTTTGAACAACACAATACTCAAAAACATGTTTTTAATTTTTCTTAGAGAAATAGGATTTTGCAATTAAGCTCCGCCCCTTGGCTTGCGACGAATAAAAAAATCATCAGAAATGATATAGGACGGGTGGGTGGGGCTTAAATTTTGCCTTTTTTTTTAATATATACAGCGATCTTTTTATAACAAGAAACTTAAAACATAGTTAAAATGGTTTTTGCAAGGAAATATGGATTTTGCAATTATGGGACGGAGCCTCTTACAAAATCGATATTTCCTTATACAAATTTTCTATTTTAAACATGTTTTGAGTTTCATGTTGTGAAAAGAAGTCTACATATATTAAAACAATAAGGCAAAAATATTAACCCCGCCCACCAACCCCATCCCAATTGTGGCGATTTTTTTTATTCGTCGTGAACCAAGGGGATGGAGCTTAACTGCAAAATACTTATTTCTGTACATGAGATTAAAAACATGTTTTTGAGTATCGTGTTGTTCAAAGAATACTATGTATATTAAGAAAAAAAGGCAAAATATTAACCCCGCCCACCCACCCAATCCCAATTGTGACGATTTTTTTTATTCTTAGAAACTTAAAACACGTTAAAAATGGTAAATTTCTGTAAGAAAATATGGATCTTGCAATTAGGTTCCGCCTCTAGGTCTGTCAAGGAATGGAAACTTCATTACTATTTAGATTAGGGCAGGTGTGGGTGGGGCTTAATCTTTGGTTTTAATTTTTTCTTAATATACTTAGTATTCTTTGATTAACACGATACTCAAAAACGTGGTAATTTCTTGTATAGAAATAATAAGAATTTTGCAATTAAATTCCGCTCCTTTGGCTCTCGACGATTTAAAAAAAAATCATCACAACTGAGATACGGCGGGTGGGCGGGGCTTGCATTTTGCCTTTTTTCTTCATATACGTAGTCGTCTTTTCAGAACAAGAAGCTTAAAACATGTTTAAAATCGTAAATTTTTTAGACAAATATGGATTTTGCCATTAAGCCCCGCCCCTCGATCTCACAACGAATGAAAAATTCATCACGATTGAGAATTGAGATTGGGACGGGTATGGGTGGGGCCTAATCTTTGGCTTTATTTTTTTCTTAATATACATAGTTTTCTTTGAACCACCCGATACTCAAAAACATGTTTTTAATTTTTCGTAGAGAAATAAGGATTTTACAATTATTATGCTCCGCCCCTTGGCTTACGACGAATAAAAAAATCATCAGAAATGAACTAGGGCGGGTGGGTGGGGCTTAGATTTTGCCTATTTTTTCTTAATATACATAGCGATCTTTTCATAACAAGAAACTTAAAATGAGATTAAAATGGTTTTTGCAAGGAAATATGGATTTTGTAAGTATGGGATGGAGCCTATTACAAATTCGATATTTCCTTATACAAATTTTCTATTTTAAACATATTTTGAGTTTCATGTTGTGAAAAGAAGTCTACATATAATAAAACAAAAAAACAAAGTGTAAGCCCGCCCACCCGCCCTATCTCAATTGTGATGATATTTTTTATTCGCCGTGAACCAAGGGGACAGAGAGCTTAACTACAAAATACTTATTTCTTCATAAGAAATTGAAAACATGTTTTTGAGTATCGTGTTATTCAAAGAATACTATGTATATTAAGAAAAAAAAGCTGAATATAAGATGTGCCACAATGGCCTTATGAACCAGTTATTTATACTATTTTTTCTACCGCGCACGTTTCTTCGCAAATTTAATTGAAATTTGAGTTTTTTTTAAATCTGGAGAATTTAATTGGTGATGGGTTGGTGTAACACGAACCACGAAACATTTCAAGTTCGAATTTTCACAACAATTGTAATTCGAATCAATTCGAGTTTTTGTAAGTTAAAATTGGTCAAAATGTCCTTACGCCTCCCGAAATACGGGAAATTGCACCGAATAGTGCACAAAATTTATTGTCAAACAAATCTCGTTAACTTTATTTTGGCGTTTATTTACTTTATTTAATTTGACATTTGCCAGTGACACTGCTCGTCATGGGTACCAACCTTACCGAGCTAAATTACACCAGATCTATTTCAGAACCCCTTTCCGCTATTAACGAACCGCTTTGACGTCATTTGGGTGCTTTAATAGCTCTGTTACAAAATCCAGGTAGAAAATCATGTTTTTAATGTTTCCTAGAGAAATAAAGATTTTGCAGTTAAGTTCCGCTTTATTGGCTCACGTGGAATAAAAAAAAATCAATACAATTGAGATAGGGTGGGTGGGCGGGTCAACATTTTGCCTTTTTTTCTTAGTATGTGTAGACTTATTTTGACAACAAAAAACAACTAAAATGGTAAATTTTTGTAGTAATCAACTTAAATCCTCCATTTTTCTTCTACAACCCCTTATACGACAAAAGTTGAAGTTCAAGGGAAATTTGGCAACGGAATTTATAAATGACAATTTTCAGCTCTAAAAGCAACGTCAGTGGAACAGCATCACTCAATAATAGCTTTAAAGTGATCTGGGGAGATATTATAAAATAAAAACCAATTCCCATGTTAAATCCCTATATCCAGACTTGGATGCGGCACCCTGTTCTTTTATCAGGAATTTTGACGTAAATTAAGGAATGCTAATTTACGATTTCATTTACATAGTTTTATTTTTACTAATTCACTACATCTACAAGCTCCGGAAATTCCAAACAATAGTATAAACTGAAAAAAATTCTCAGTTAAGAATTTACTTGAGTTCCCAGGTAATTTTCAGTCCGTGCCTCTGCTAAAAAGATAAGAAATTTAGACAACTGATAATTTTCCCACTTATGCTTTTTGAGAAACGCACAAAGATTCAGATATTTTAAAATGCCCACTCTTTGCCTAAAACAAAATCGTGGGTTCAAAGAACTCGTCAAACACTCAAAAACAGTCAAAATCAATGGTTATAATTATAAATCACTATTCAAGAATAACAATAATATAATACTTTTATTTTTAGTTTTGATTTGACAAGCTGTACTTTATGGGCGAGGGAAGTTCTGTTGAAGTAATTTTTGACCAATTTTTTTTACTTACCGGGCGTAGCTAAAGATTATAGACAACACACTGAACATTTGTAGACTTTAGTTTCAGCCTCTTGAGGTCTCATCAGTAAGGCATGTTTCAATGGTGGCTGCTTTCATGTTTTCTGAACGTTTCATAACCTCCAGAATATGAAACAATAGCTCTACCATTTTAGTTGCTCAACTTGTCCGTTTCCTAAGACAAGTGTACTCCAGACCAAATATAAATAAACAAGTGTGTTTTCGTAATATAATGCGTTCGAATCATAGACAGTGGTGCAGTTTGGGTGATTAAAGTATGATAGGTTAATAAATTCAGAAAAGCTTTACAAGAATCGTATTTAAATATCCTTCGACCAATTTGTCTCTGTAATAATGATGAATGGTCCTAAATTAAAATGTACATTTTCGATGACATCAGAGTTATTAGTGATTTGCGAACATGTTAGTAGAGTTATACGAATAAAAGCAATTAATTAATCGAATTAAATTAATATTACTTTTTGATTGCGCAGATACATAGATTTCGCCTCAGGCATCGAAATATATAAGTATCCTTCCTCATTTTCTATTCCGTCAACTGTTAACTCAAGTTATTTCATCACAACGGGAAGCAGCTGATCTATCCATTATTATTAATGCGAGTTAGAAAAGTACAAAAAAATAAACACGCCTGATTTAGAAATTTCTTCACGTGTTTTTTTCCATAATAATAATACATGACCTGTACTAGCTTTTCAGTTATTTATTTATCTAAAAAAAGTGATTTTTCCGCACACTACTTACAAGTTAAAAAGTCAACTCATTTCGACCCTGCAAGCTCAGCAAACCCAATATTGTGTCGTGTCAATTTTCGCAAGGTCTAAAATTATCGAGGTTTCGTTAAATAAACAGAAAAAATTTACACGAAAGGGTAGATTTCGTTTTGACCACGTCCTTTGATGGCGTGCCGATAACCCCGAGATCAATAACGAACTCAAGAGTTAATTATATGTACGCCGAAATAAATAAATAGCTAGCAATGGTATACCGCAAGGGTCAATGATGATGGAACGGTCCGAAATCGTTCAGGCAGCAAGCAAACAATAGGCGTGTAAATAAGGGTCACTGATTAACATTTTTTCTTTAGAAACAGGAAGGAGTCATAGAAGATACGTTTGCAGATAGCATAGTCTTATTCCGAGGCCTGCCCTGTTCCTTAGCTGCAATCAATAAATGACAGGCAGTTGTTACTATGGCCGCTCTTCAACACGGTAGGTATAGAATATGAATTGGCAATTTGTTAAATTGTTATTGGTTATTAAAAAAACGATTATGATGGTAATGGCAGTCGAACGTCAGCACGCGTAATTATTCGGATGCGGAATGACAAGCGACTGCCGATCCGGTTTTTCGACTAATTTTTAACTTCTCGAAACTATTAGAATAGATAGTGGACTGCTTTTGACGGTGACTGTCATTTTGAATTAAATCATCTTGATAAGAGCATTCGTTGGCTACGAATTTTCCATTGATGACAAAGGTAGGTATAACTATAAAATGAAATCGATTCATCCAACCTGGGTTCGTGCCGTTTTATAATAGTCAAGCGTTTCCTGCACATCTTTGTCCCTGGTTAATTATAATCGTGGCCATTAAATAATACAGTAAGCGATCAAAACCTTTCGCGTCATAAGTATTTTATTTATGAGTAATTAATTAATGAACGATGTACGGAAATTATAACCACGCACGTGTGTAACAAAGTTCGCCCAAAATTAGAGGGATAATTAATTTTTACTTTGTCATACCAAACAATAATAATACGATTTAAGATTAACCGAAAAAAATCATCAGTTTAACAAAGCCCAACAAAATTTGTTTACATCTTTTTTAGTAAAAATTCTAAAGCCGTGGAAATATCCCTGTTCAAACCACTTAGACTGTGTTTTTTTTTTAGTGACGTAAGTATGTCATTTCTTATATGTTACAGATAATTTGCTATGGTAATGCACAAGTTCAAAATTAATTGACTAATTATTTTTATTATTAAAAGTTAACACTACTGTTTTCATCTTCACTCTCATTAGTATCTGAAACGGAATTAACATTGATAATGACTTGATTTGTTTCACAATTGTCCAGAATCTTTTCCGTTTGACATGTCGATTCTATGTTTTTCTACGTGTGCTTCATATATTTTTCCCAGTGTACATTGAGAACTTGATTTTCAGTAGTACGTCAACAGGAAAATCATTAGTTTTTGGAATATTTTTATCGTACTTTCGTTTACATTCCGACATACCATTTCAATTGGATTAAAATGACAGTGGTATGGCGGAAGTCTTAGGACATAATATCCATGTTTTGGAGCACAATGATCTAAATTTTTCAGGCAGTCTATTGCGTACAACATTTTTTTTTTGTCCTACTCTTTCCAGAAATTTCTTCCTACAAATAAAGCAGATATACGTATAGTGTACTTATCGAAACTAAAATAAACACCATAAGTCTGCTATGGTAGGTTACATTATCCATTATAATAAGAGACGGCTCCAGAAGATTGGATATTAATTGCTCTTTAAACCATTTTTCAAAATTTTCTTGGTTCATGTTATCATGATAATCGCCACATTTTGTTTATAGCTGACATATTAGACTCCTTCAGTAAATACGTGTTTATTGGCAGCGTGAACTATAATACGTATATCTACATCCTTCTCCCGTTTTTTTAATTGCAGTTTGTGTTGAACCGACTGGCCATGTTTTTTTACATCTACTACCGTTACTGAAAATGTCCATGATTCATCCAGAAAAAGGGGTTGGTATAACTTTGTTCTTCTTGACTTAGTGGATGGTCTCTCCATTAGAAACAATAATTTTCCCTAACTGACATTAAATCTACAGGATTTACTTGAGTTTTTCTATTTCCAATACTTTGTACTCCGTATCATTTGAACCTGTATTTTTTTGTAAAAGATTTGATAAAGATTTGTCACAAATTTTTAACATGTCGGTCGCCAGTTCTGTTTTCCTTTTTTTCTTAAATTGCTCAAAAGCATGGTTTCTTTCTATATAATCCACTGCTATATAATATATAACTTGTTTTGTTTGATCACTAAGTCGTTTCATTGTTCAGAATTAAGCAGAGTAGTAAAACATTGAATAAACCAAAGATTTTCTTTGACAAATAATTCTGATGACAAATTTCAAAATTTGACATAAAGTGCAGACGACAGAAAAAGAAAAAGTTTTACGTGGGGTATTTCCACCACTATACTTTATTTATTATATGTGGAAATATGTATGTCTCATTTCAATTTGAGTGTTCTTTTCAGTATAGAATGGTGGCTTCACAAAGTGGGTTTACAAGTTTCACTTTTTTCTCCAATGTACACCAGCACTAAGTCTTCAGTTATCTGTTTCACTTTTTTCCTGTTCATGCTTCAAATTCCCAGAAAACTTTTTCATAGAAGGTATCAAATTCCACAATTTCAAATTCATTTTCAATCCGAAATTCACGAAAAGTTCTAAACAAAAATTGTTGTTACAAATTGAAAAATGTTTGTTGACTGGTTGCTAAAGCAACCCATGGGTAATATTATTACTTCAGAGCACACCGCAGGTTTGAAAACGATAATTCTCTAGTTAAAGGTGGGAAATTTACTAATTTACGATTGCAAAAAAAATTGGTCGAACGTTATTTCAACAGAACTTCCCTCGCCCTTGAACTACGGTCCAACAAATCTTGCTTTTTTGAAAAATTATTAAATTTGATTTTGTGAAATTTTACTTTTGTGTGATAACCACTATGGAGTAAAAACAATATAGACAGTACCAGTCACACTGTAAGAGAAAAAAAAAAGGTTTCATCTTAAAAAAAAGACAGTTGGGCTGCCCGAGAAAGTTTCACTTTCTTTAGAAAAAAAAAACTTGGGAACTCTGAGAAGGTTTCACATTATTAAAAAAGACACCTGGGACTGCCCCGAAGGTTTCACTTTCTTTAAAAAAAAAGACATTTGGAGCCCTCGAGAAGGTTTCACCTTGTTTAAAAAAAGACAGTTAAGATGCCCCGGAAGATTTCATCTTTTTTAAAAGAAAAGAAACTTGGGAACTCCGAGAAGGTTTCACTTTCTTTCAACAAAAGACACTTGGGGCCCCCAAGGTCTCACTTTCTTTAAAAAAAGGACACATGGAGCCCCCGAGAAGGTTCCACATTCTTTAAGAAAAAAGGCAGTTGGGGCCTTCGAGGAGGTTTCAGCTTCTTTAAAAAAAAAGACATTTGGCACCCCGAGAAGGTTTCAAATTCTTAAAAAAAAGACAGTTGGGGTCCTCGACAAAATTTCACATTATTAAAAAAAGACAGTTGGGACCAGCGAGAAGGTTCCACTTTCTTTAAAAAAAACACACTTGGGGTCCCCGAGAAGGTTTCACTTTCTTTAAAAAAAAAGAGAAATGGAGCCCCCGAGAAGGTTTCACAATCTTTAAAAAAAAAACACAGTTGGGGCCTTCGAGAAGCCTTCACCTTCTTTAAAAAAAGAGAGTTAGCGTTCCCGAGAAGATTTCATCTTCTATAAAAGAAAAGAAACTTGGGAACTCCGAGAAGGTTTTACGTTATTAAAAAAAGACAGTTGGGACCCCCGAGAAAGTTTCACTTTCTTTCAAAAAAAGACACTTGAGGCCCCCGAGGGTTCACTTTCTTTAAAAAAGGACACATGGAGCCCCGGAGAAAGTTCCAGATTCTTTAAGAAAAAAGACAGTTGGGGCCCTCGAGGAGGTTTCAGCTTCTTAAAAAAAGACAGTTGGGCACCCCGAGAAGGTTTCAACTTCTTAAAAAAAGACACTTGGGGCCTCCAAGAAGGTTTCACATTCTTTAAAAAAGAAATACAGTTGGGGCCCTTGAGAAGGTTTCACCTTCTTTAAAAAAAGACAATTGGGTGCCCTGAGAAGGTTTAAACTTCTTAAAGAAAGACACCTGGGGCTCCCGAGAAAGTTTCACCTTCTTAAAAAAAAATTTAGGAACCCCGAGAAGGTTTCACTTTATTAAAAACAGACAGTTGAGAGCCTCGAGAAGATTTCACTTTCTTCCAAAAAAGACATATGTGGCCCCCGAGAAGATTTCACATTCTTAAAAAAAAAAAGTTGGGATCCCCGAGAGGGTTTCACCTTCTTTAAAAAGAGAGTTAGCGTTCCCGAGAAGATTTCACCTTCTATAAAAGAAAAGAAACTTGGGAACTCCGAGAAGGTTTTACGTTATTAAAAAAAGACAGTTGGGCCCCCGAGAAAGTTTCACTTTCTTTCAAAAAGAGACACTTGAGGCCCCCAAGGGTTCACTTTCTTTAAAAAAGGACACATGGAGCCCCGGAGAAAGTTCCAGATTCTTTAAGAAAAAAGACAGTTGGGGCCCTCGAGGAGGTTTCAGCTTCTTAAAAAAGGACAGTTGGGCACCCCGAGAAGGTTTCAACTTCTTAAAAAAAGACACTTGGGGCCTCCAAGAAGGTTTCACATTCTTTAAAAAAGAAATACAGTTGGGGCCCTTGAGAAGGTTTCACCTTCTTTAAAAAAAGACAATTGGGTACCCTGAGAAGGTTTAAACTTCTTAAAGAAAGACACCTGGGGCTCCCGAGAAGGTTTCACCTTCTTAAAAAAAAACTTAGGAACCCCGAGAAGGTTTCACTTTATTAAAAAAAAAAACAGTTGAGAGCCTCGAGAAGATTTCACTTTCTTCCAAAAAAGACATATGTGGCCCCCGAGAAGGTTTCACATTATTGAAAAAAGACAGTTGGGACCTGCGAGAAGGTTTCACTTTCTTTAAAAAATAGACACTTGGGGTCACCGAGGTTTCACTCTCTTAAAAAAAAGACAGATGGAGCCCCCGAGAAGATTTCACATTCTTAAAAAAACAGTTGGGATCCCCGAGAAGGTTTCACCTTCTTTAAAAAAAGACAGTTGGAACTCCCGAGTAGGTTTCACATTCTTTAAAAAAAAGGTTTCACTTTCTTCGTAGGGATGCTTAGTAAAATTTTCGTCTACTCTTCATAACAATTTCGATACTCTGTCTCATGTTGTACATATAATTCCTGCTTAAATATACCGAAAATTTAAGAAAACGATAAATTTAAAGGGATTAAACGTTTAAAACCTTCAATGACTGCAGGTCCGGACTCCATACTAGCATTTTTAATAAGTAAAAGGCGGATTTTAGGTCTGAAAAGGAATACATTTTAGGACTGAATTTTTGTAAAAATTGGCAACAAAATTTCGTTTTAGGCAC